ACATTCACTTACTGCTATGCAAATTTGGAACATGGATGAGACTGGGTTTGTTCTTGTGCCCAAGTTGGAAAAAGTCGGCATGAAAAAAGATGCACACTAGGTTCATAAAGTTGCACATGAAAATTCACATGAACATATTTCTGTTGCTCCTACCATTTCAGCTACCGGGTCGTATATTCCACGCTTAATTATTTATAAAGGTGTTTGTGTAATTCCTGGCTTGTTAGAAGGTGCATCTCCAGGAACTGTAATGGGTTTCTCAATTACTGGGTACATGCGCGAAGACCTTTTCCAAATGTATCTTACCCATTTTAACAACTTGATCCTGCCTACACGTCTGGTTTTACTAATGCTTGATGGTCATAAAAGCCATATAAGCTATATGAGTATTGATTTCTGCCGAAAAAATGGAATTCTTCTTTATGCACTGCCACCCCATACGACGCACGTCTTATAGCCCTCTGAAATTCCTTTTGCTAAATTAAAAAGTGAATATGCTAAGGAGAGTAACAAATATAAAAACCATAGTGGCAAGGTGGTAACAAAACATACTTTTGCAAAAGTTTTTGGCCCTGCTTTTCTCAAAACCTATAAGCCTTTAGCCATTTGCAATGCCTACAAAAGCACAAGAATATGGCTCTTAAATCCTGAGGCTATTAGTTCAGACCGTTTGGACCCTTCTCTAGCAACAAAGCGATTTGATATTGTACCTTCAAATGACCAACCTTCTGCACAACAAAATGAGTCGCTTCTGTTACCTTCAAATATTCAACCTTCTACGCAATCAGATAAATCACCTTCGCAATCGTCTACTAATTTAAATCACCATCTTACTCGTTCAAATACTTTCCTATTGGAAAAAGAAAAAGAAATTCTTTTAACTAAAAATAATTTTCTTAAAAATGAAAATGAACTATTAAAAGTTCAGTTTGTAGCAATGAAAGAAGAATTAGAAACTTATAAGAATCCTGGCACATGCTCTCTTCATTCTGCTCTGAAGTACCTGGTTTCTCGAATTTCGAATGCTGAAACCCCTAAAGCTTCTTTAGATCCACATGAATCTGAGTTACCTTTCCCTAAAAAAAGAAAAACTCTTCCGTTTGCACAACTTCTTACTTCCAAAGACAGTTGGCAACAACTAAAAATGGCAAATGAAGTAGCAAACAAAAAAGTCACTGAAGCTAATCGAAAAAAGGAAGAGCAGGAGTGAAAAAAAGAAGAACAGGAGCAAAAGAAAGAAGAACAGGTGCAAAAAAAACAAGAAAAAGAAGATTGCAAGAATAAGAAGTCAGGCAAGTATAAAAAAAAAAAAAAAAAATTAAATACCCTGGGGGGTGAAAAGTCTCTACGTACTGGCCTTTTTAATCACTGATTATCAGAGGTGTTAAGATGTTACACATTTACAGTAATACTGTATTTATTTTAATATCGATATTAGCTTAGCATTAGCGTTAGGGACTCATGGTGCATATGATTAATACAAAGATCCTATCTAGAAATTTTTTTATCTACTTGGCTCAATAAAAAAAAAATTTTTTTAAAATTTGTCCACAATACCCCCCCCCTTCTAAAATCTGGATTTTATATACACTTTTGTGTATTAATCATTTGTTTAAAAATGTTTATTGTATAAAGATCTTTTTTTTTTGTTATTTAATTCTATATTGAGCAACAGTTCGAATAATAATTTTTATATAAGAGTTTATTTTTTTTTTTTTTTGTGTTATAAGCGGCAATCTTGCCTGTCTGTCTTTTATTGAGTAATATCTAGTTATTAATG